CGAGGTTCAGGCTCTTGCTGTATCTCTTGACCCAACTACAGCAGCCCCCCCCCTTCCTTCCCAGCACTTGCTGTATCTCCTGACCCCACTACAGCAGCCCCCCCTCCCCTCCTTCCCAGCACTTGCTGTATCTCCTGACCCCACTACAGCAGCCCCCCCCCTTCCTTCCCAGCACTTGCTGTATCTCCTGACCCAACTGCAGCAGCCCCCCCCCTTCCTTCCCAGCACTTGCTGTATCTCCTGACCCCACTACAGCAGCCCCCCCCTTCCTTCCCAGCACTTGCTGTATCTCCTGACCCCACTACAGCAGCCCCCCCCCTTCCTTCCCAGCACTTGCTGTATCTCCTGACCCCACTACAGCAGTCCTTCCCCCCTCCTTCCCAGCACTTGCTGTATCTCCTGACCCCACTACAGCAGCCCCCCCCCCTCCTTCCCCTGCAATTTTTCTAGCTCTACTAACTGAAGATATGATTGTATCTTGCATCTTGTATTCCGTTTGAGTTCTTCATAATTACCGTAACTAAGTATGAAGAATTACCAGATCTGAAATTTACCACTGCTAAAAATCATTATAGTTTCTGTTTGTATATTGCCTTCTGCCGAGGAATTTTTCCTTGCTGACTTCAGCAAAGGATGATACGAAGCTGTGACTTGTATTTTCGTCTGTATCTGATATGAAGACGATGAGGAGAAGACGTAGTGGCAGGAATTCGCCTTGGCTATAGACACATCTGGCAGGTTAGTGAGGCTGAGCCACTACCAGAATATTCAGATTGTAAACTCTATGATAAACCTCTAATGCATTAACTAGTACACTATATTGTTGAATGTGAAACCGTAAAAGACTTTAGACCTCCTGGTCTCTTGTACCACCAACTGTATAACTATTTTATTGACTCAGGTGTTCTAGACGACATCCTAACAATTTATCCAAAATTTGCTTCTCCATTTTAAAAAATGAAGAACAATTTTATTTCTATTACTTCCAAGCTGCATCACTTATGAACCCATCTCTGCCCTTATGTGGCAATGCACAATATAACGTTGTTTTTACATATTCATACATTAAAACATTGATTGTAACCATGATATATATATGTGCTAGTTTAGACCTATTGTCTTGTGTACGACCCTCTGTCCTGCGTGACAGTGAATACCACCATTATCCTCACTTTAATAAGGCTTAATCGAAATCCTCAGATTAGGCAAAATTGTAATTGATTTTGTCAATAAAGATAATAATAATAATAATAATAAAGGACTGTGCCTTGGGGTACAGAGCTTGTCACTGTCGTTGGACTTTATTTTGTTTGTTACCTAGATCTTACCTGGACGGGGTGCTGGGACTTGTTCAACTCTTCAAGGCCGACCTGAGGCCAGGCTTGACTTGTGACACCTTGGTCCAACAGACTCTTGCGTGAAGCGACCCGCAGGCCCACATATCCACTACATACAACCCAGTTGGTCCGGTTCTTCTTGCAGGAAACTGTCTAATCGTTTCTTGAAGAAATAAACTTTTGTTGCGGCAATATTTCTTATATTTACTGAAAGAAAACGGAACAGCCGTGGATCTCTGATTGTCACACAGTGTTTTCTGATTATGCTTAAGACACCTCTTATGAAACCTCTACTCTTCACAGGCCCTATTCCACATCTCCTGTCCCATCATTCGCTCCAGTTACTCTGTCCGTTCCGCTTGACAGTGAAATTCATATCCATCGCCTTACTTTACATGTTATTCCCTTGGTCCTCACTGTATTCGGTACCACACTATGGTCTCATGTATGACGCTCCTCTGCAAGATCAGTGTACGCAACACCTCATTATATATTGTTGGTGTCCTAACGCTTCCCTCATTTTGTCATAGTGGTTGAGTAATTGTGAAAGGCAGGTTCTTCCTACTCTTGGTCCGTGTTGACCTGGGATGTGAGGTTCCTTGTTCTCCATAGTGGTAGTAGGCATCCATCAGTCTCAGGAGACTATGGAGTTGCGCCCTGGTGTCGGCCTGGTCTGGAGTGGCCAGACCAGACCATAACACTGAAGATTTGACTCCTAATCACACTTTCGAAGACCTTAGTTATGTGTGGTAGTGAGACCGGGCAATAGTTTTAGCCAATACTTTGCTACCTCCCTTGTACAGTGATGCTATATCTGATTTAAGTGCTTCTGGTGTCTCATCTATATCCAAGCTTTTGCGTCATGTTAAAACCGAGTGCTCGTGCTACTGGCACTTTACATTTCTTTATAAATATAAGATTCTAGGAGTCAGGAGCCGAGGCTGAGTGTGCGCTGTCAATTTTCCTTTCAGAGTCTGACATGATTGTGTTTATATCATTAATATTGTCAGAGTTATGAATACCGTTCATAAAGAAGCTGTTGTTGTTTAAGATTCAGCTACTGGGAACAAAACGTTCCAAGTAGCACGGGCTATGGTGAGCCCGTAGTGGATTTACCTGGCACAAGAGCAGGGCTGAAACTTCATAAAGCCGTCCGAATCTGCGACTTTCATATTTACTTGGGTGCTAAACAGAAATCTTGAAACTTATTTCAGGATTTCACATTTGTTGTGGTCATCAGTAAATGGACCTTCTTTTTAAAGGGTCCAATCCCTTTTTTTTTTTTTTTTTACTTCGTTTTGCTGACGTGAGAAAGGATTAAGGATTTAGTCTTATCTCTGTTCATTCACTGGAACAGAGTACAATAACATTCTAGTCCATTTCTTTAGTCTGGTATGACAGCTTCAGCTAATATATTTCTTGAAGCTCCCTGTTTAGATTATATTTCCTTTGTTACGATAATTGTGTCTGCTTAAGTATTTCAATTATTCTTTCTTCTACACTGTCATCTGCGTTCTCCAAGTTGGTCCTCATTTTGATCCCGATATATTTATATATATATATATGTCGTACCTAATAGCCAGAACGCACTTCTCAGCCTACTATTCAAGGCCCGATTTGCCTAATAAGCTAAGTTTTCATGAATTAATGTTTTTTCGTCTACCTAACCTACCTAACCTAACCTAACCTAGCTTTTTTTGGCTACCTAACCTAACCTTACATATAAATATAGGTTAGGTTAGGTTAGGTAGGGTTGGTTAGGTTCGGTCATATATCTACGTTAATTTTAACTCCAATAAAAAAAAATTGACCTCATACATAGAGAAAAGGGTTGCTTTATCACTTCATAAGAAAAAAATTATAGTAAATATAATAATTCAGGAAAACTTGGCTTATTAGGCAAATCGGGCCTTGAATAGTAGGCTGAGAAGTGAGTTCTGGCTACTAGGTACGACATTATATATATATATATATATATATATATATATATATATATATATATATATATATATATATATATATATATATATATATATATATATATATATATATATATATATATATATCGGCGATATATTCAGGCAGACTTTTGTATGCTTCGATAGTCAAGGGTTCTATATATTCCTTATGGGAGAGGTAAGTAACCAAGCTTTTGCTTGGTAACCTCAAGGTAAGGAGGTTAAGGTAAGGTTAGGTAAGGTAACCTCAAGGTAATGAGGTTAGGTACTCAAGATTGTTTCCAACTCCATGTTTGCCTTATTTATTATATACCAAAATCCACCCCTCTTCCCCTCCGGTGATATAAGGTATGCTCCACACGGCTGGGCATATCATATACCACAGAATATACCCAAGCCGTCTACACATTTTATTTGTTATCCGGCGGCTGTCTAGCCCTTGCCTACCCTCCTACCCATTTCATCCCCCCCCCTCACCGACCACCTCTCTACCCCCCCCCCTCGCCCCTCACGAGTGGCAGGCCATAGTAGTCTGGCCGTAACGACCGTCAAACACTGGCAGAACACCCGCCACACACGTTGATTAATTACCTTTGATAAACACTCCAATCTCCGATACCCAAAGCGGACGTGAGCGGACCCCGGACAGCCCAGGAGCCCTCCATGCCCTGCCCGCGTACCCCACCCTGCCCGCCCGGGAGAACGCCTGCCCTGCCCGCGTACCCCACCCTGCCCTGCCCGCCCAGGAGAACGCCTGCCCTGCCCGCCCAGGTGAACGCCTGCCCTGCCCGCCCAGGAGAACGCCTGCCCTGCCCGCCCAGGAGAACGCCTGCCCTGCCCGCCCAGGAGAACGCCTGCCCTGCCCGCCCAGGAGAACGCCTACCCTGCCCGCCCAGGAGAACGAACGCCTACCCGCCCAGATCGACCGCCTGTCTCACGAATTTCCACCCTTGCGTTGCTCTCAAGGCTTACGTAATAGCCATACATTAAAGGGAAAATAATCTTTATTGCGAGCGAATACAAACAAGTCACTATAAACAGCGAAGTGAAGGCTGTTATGCAAGTGCTTTTTGTGTTTTTTCAATGTATTTATTATTTTACCTGCCTAGGAAAAAGTGTCACTATCACATCCCTCTTGGAAGATATCGGAAACCAAGAGAATCACCTTTTACATGTTCATCTTTGAAGACTAGTGATGAGAATGAGGAGTTTCTCTCTCTCTCTCTCGCACTCAATCCACTCTTGCCAGTGCAGTCCCAGATCTTCTCCTCCATCTCCTCCTCTAGCTTCCCCCTCTCCCCCCCCCCCCGGCCCACTTGGCAAGGAGGAGGTGCAATCCATCTTACGAACATCACGGGAACCAACACAGAGACGTCTACGGCAGCTACTGGACATTCACCGTCCCCCCCCCCCTACACCCCCGCTCTCTCTCTCTCTCTCTCTCTCTCTCTCTCTCTCTCTCTTAGATGATCATTCTCTCAAATTGTAAATTAATATGCGAGTCAAATTGGTCACCTGTCCACCATCAACTTACAGGCAAACTGTCCCACCGTCAACTTACAGGTACCCTACCCACCTGTGCACGCCAAATTATAGGTACCTTTAGTAACTTTTTTTGTGCAAGGCTTGAGCACCTGAGCACCGTGTCTTGTGCCGACGCCCCCCCCCCCCCTCCTCCCCCCACTTGACGAAGGCGTGTTTGACCTCAGTGTTTGACTCTGGTGTTTGGTCTGGGAGTTTGTTGTTTGAGCCCCGTGTTTGTCTGGTAGCCGGGAGGGTGTGGGCGCTCGGGATAGTCACGGAGTGGGCGTGTAGGCACAGAGACCGTGGGCGTGTAGGCACAGAGACCGTGGGCGTGTAGGCACAGAGACCGTGGGCGAGTAGGCACAGAGACCGTGGGCGTGTAGGCACAGAGACCGTGGGCGTGTAGGCACAGAGACCGTGGGCGTGTAGGCACAGAGACCGTGGGCGTGTAGGCACAGAGACCGTGGGCGTGTAGGCACAGAGACCGTGGGCGTGTAGGCACAGAGACCGTGGGCGTGTAGGCACAGAGACCGTGGGCGTGTAGGCACAGAGACCGTGGGCGTGTAGGCACAGAGACCGTGGGCGTGTAGGCACAGAGACCGTGGGCGTGTAGGCACAGAGACCGTGGGCGAGTAGGCACAGAGACCGTGGGCGTGTAGGCACAGAGACCGTGGGCGTGTAGGCACAGAGACCGTGGGCGTGTAGGCACAGAGACCGTGGGCGTGTAGGCACAGAGACCGTGGGCGTGTAGGCACAGAGACCGTGGGCGAGTAGGCACAGAGACCGTGGGCGTGTAGGCACAGAGACCGTGGGCGTGTAGGCACAGGGAGAGAGAGAGCCTTCAATAACACAAGCATTAATAAAAGTGTCGGCACATGGGTGATGGGGAGAGGAGAGGGGAGAGGGGAGGGGAGAGGGGAGGGGAGAGGGGAGGGGAGAGGGGAGGGGAGAGGGGAGGGGAGAGGAGAGGGGAGAGGAGAGAGGAGGGGAGAGGGAGAGGGAGAGGGGAGGGGAGAGGAGAGGGGAGAGGAGGAGGGGAGAGGAGAGGGGAGAGGAGAGGGGAGAGGAGAGGGGAGAGGAGAGGGGAGAGGAGAGGGGAGAGGGGGGAGAAGTAGAGATGTCTGTCTACGCGGGAGGAGTCCCCTTCCCCCCCCCCCTGACAAAGACACCCATGACGTCTTATTAATGTCCCAGCTTTACAGACCCCCATCACACACCTCCCACCGCCTGCCCTCCATTCCCTGGAGTATAACTTTCATTCCCTGGAGTATAACCTTTATTCCCTGGAGTATAACCTCCATTCCCTGGAGTATAACCTCCATTCCCTGGAGTATAACCTCCATTCCCTGGAGTATAACCTCCATTCCCTGGAGTATAACCTCCATTCCCTGGAGTATAACCTCCATTCCCTGGAGTATAACCTCCATTCCCTGGAGTATAACCTCCATTCCCTGGAGTATAACCTCCATTCCCTGGAGTATAACCTCCATTCCCTGGAGTATAACCTCCATTCCCTGGAGTATAACCTCCATTCCCTGGAGTATAACCTCCATTCCCTGGAGTATAACCTCCATTCCCTGGAGTATAACCTCCATTCCCTGGAGTATAACCTCCATTCCCTGGAGTATAACCTCCATTCCCTGGAGTATAACCTCCATTCCCTGGAGTATAACCTAAGAGTGATAACTTGTGATAATGTGATCCAACAGGATAGTGCTGGCACCGGCCCGTAGGCAATATCTACGTCTGTCTTCGTCTCCGTTTTAAGATAATCTCGCAAATTGGCTCACTGTAGTGTTTCAGGCGTAGGTTATACATTTATAAGAATGAATTTGCTTATATATATATATATATATATATATATATATATATATATATATATATATATATATATATATATATATATATATATATATATATATATATATATATATATATATATATATATATATATATATATATATATATATATATATATATATATATATATATATATATATATATATATATATATATATATATATATATATATATATATATATATATATATATATATATATATATATATATATATATATATATATATATATATATATATATATATATATATATTGTAGAAGATGACTTGTATGGGCCAATAGACCTACATATTCGTGTATGGGGGGTAGCAAGAGGAGTGCCACCAGAGGCACCTCCCTGGTGTACCTGTCCACAACACAAACACTCCTGCCCGCCCCCGTCGTGCTGCTGGCGGCCCTACCCGTGTTCCGGTGCCTCCGCCACCACTTGGCACCACAGTCTGCTACGCCCAACCTGTCTCCAATGCCAAGGACGCGAGAGCACGGGGTCACCGCCCCCGTTGTTGTTGTTTTAGATTTAGCTACTCAGAACGAAGTGTTCATGTAGCACAGGCTATGGTGACCCCGTAACACTGTCTTGGTTACTGTCGCCTTTAGTAAACGCACCTTGACCCTCACCTGTCGTCGAGCGCTCCTCGAGTTCTACAGATTTTAGGGTTCTACAGATTTAGGGTTCTACAGATTTAGGGTTCTACAGATTTAGGGTTCTACAGATTTAGGGTTCTACAGATTTAGGGTTCTACAGATTTAGGGTTCTACAGATTTAGGGTTCTACAGATTTAGGGTTCTACAGATTTAGGGTTCTACAGATTTAGGGTTCTACAGATTTAGGGTTCTACAGATTTAGGGTTCTACAGATTTAGGGTTCTACAGATTTAGGGTTCTACAGATTTTGATGTTCTGGCAAACGTTAAAGAGAGTAGAACCATAAAAGTTAAAATAACCAAGTCTGCAGTCACTCTAAATTACATTGAACGTGAAATTTGAACAGTGGCTCAGTAGTCTTCGTTCTCGGCTCACAAACAAGGGTCCCGGGTTATATCCTCTGGCGAGACAGAGACGTCTGGGTAAATTCTCTCCTTTTACCTGATGCCTCTATTCACCTAGCTGTAAATCGGCACACACACAGGAACCCTCTCATACATCATACTATTGTCTATATGCCACTGTAAAATAATATAACTATTTTTGCCTAATCTTCTTTTCTTCGATTACATTCTGAAAGTTAACCAACCCAGGGTCAAGATTCATCAAGCACGTGTCTCCACTGACGAAACCTGTACATCTTTCCTCAATCATGGCGGCCTAGTGTGCATTTACTAAACACTGTATGACCGCTGCAGCCCTACGAGTGTGTCTGCAACAAGAGTAACCTTGGGTTGCCAAGTTCCAAGCTCGTCAACTTGAATAAATAGACCGAGTCGCCAAGATCGAAGAAAGATGTACAAGTTTCGTAAGTGGACACGTAAATGCTTAGACAATACGATCTGAGAGCAGGGAAAAAATTAATATTTTAATATATAGCCATATACCTTGCCTGTAATGAATGTTGTAACCATTTTTGTGTAATGATGTTTTAAATAAAATAAAATGAGACACATACATGCAAAAAAGAATAGGGGTGGTAGGGGAAGAAAATATTAAAGTGTTCAGTGAGGATCCACGAGGTCTTCTCTAAGTACTCTTTCTTTTCTTCCCCAAAGTTATGGGTCTCTACAATTGCACCAGAGGTGGTACCCCTTACCACCACATTGTAGGGACCCATAACTTCGGGGAAGAAAAGAAAGAGTACTCAGAGAAGACCTTGTGGGTCCTCACTGAACACTTTTAATATTTTAATATTTTCTTCTCCTACCACCCCTATTCTTTTTTGCATGTATGTGTCTCATTTTATTTTATTTAAAACTTCATTACACAAAAAAGGTTACAACATTCATTACAGGCAAGGTACAAGGCTACTTGTGTGTGTGTGTAATATATATTATATATATTATATATATAATATATATATATATATATATATATATATATATATATATATATATATATCATATATAGTATATATATATATATATATATATATATATATATATATATATATATAAATATATATATATATATAAATATATCATATATATATATATATATATATATATATATATATATATATATATATATATATATATATATATATATATATATGATAAGTGAAATGTCATCCCCTTCCCAGTGGCCGGCAGCTTTACAGCTATGAACATAAACTACATACCATAAGCCAACTTTGGCGGGTATGGACACTGGAGTACATCGGTGAAAACTCGAGGGCCTGATGGGCACTATCAGACTACCGTGTGACCATCAGACGCCCACCACCCATCTCCTGCCAATAATAATATATACAAGAAACATCACTGGAACAACAGATGAAGCTTGCAAGAGAGAGAGACAATTTCTGATGGAGTTACCGGATCAGTCGGCAAGTTGTTATGGCTATTTGGACCCGCGGGCTACATAGACCAGGCAATTGCCAGCCTCAGGGCCAAGCTGCAATAGGTGAAGAACGATCAGCACCGTCCACTTTAAGCCATAGGTAGCCAGTCCTTGACCTGTATCTACAGCTCCCTATTTCACACAAATTAGCCTGACACTATTAAAGGCAGCATAATATGTAAAATTGGTCTATTTCGACAAATTGCGTACACGCGGGGGGGGGGAGAGAGAGAGAGAGAGAGAGAGAGAGAGAGAGAGAGAGAGAGAGAGAGAGAGAGAGAGAGAGAGAGAGAGAGAGAGAGAGAGAGAGAGAGAGAGAGAGAGAGAGAGAGAGAAATAAAACCCATGACCAACGAGAAGAAGAAGAAGTATCCCAGTAGAGAGCAGAAGACATGAGCATGAAGGATGTGTACCACATGTTGGACTACACATCACCTCGCCCTACACTGCCGCCCCGAACACCCACTAGTCTTAAACCATACACCTAATTACACATGCCTAAGTATACAAGATTTAGTATTCCCATACCCGCTGAAAGGGCGGGCGTATACACACATGGAACCCTCTGAAACCTATAACACAAAGACATGATGATATTATTAACATAAAATACACTATACACAAATATACAATACATTACCATAAGGAGAATCGCATTGCTTACCTGGAACAAAGGAAACTATTATTAATATAAAACATATCACCGTTACCTTTATATATTATTATTATTATAATATATATATATAATATATATATATATATATATATATATATATATATATAATATAATTATATATATATATATATTATATATATATATATATATATATATATATATATATATATATATATATATATATATATATATATATATATATATATGTACCAGCCCATCCTTCTAAACAGTTACTAAATGTAGTGATGGACGACCACAAAGTTAAGACTTTCGTCTTCCTGAATTTAGTTAAACTTCACCACAACATAAACACAAGACTTAAACCTCTCCTAGGACTCCTAGGCCTAATACACGCTAAGGCCTAAAATAATATACATATATATATTTGCTATACTAGGCCTAGGAATATCTAAGTGTGGTTTTTAGCTTTATTTGTTTCCTGGAACTATAAAATGAATAATGCCAAAAGTGGTTTACTGGTGGACCATTATTACATACTGGTGGTGTCCACTAAATGGTTAATATAAGTACTATCATTTCACGAGAATGGGTCTGGTGTATACATAAATATATATATATATATATATATATATATATATATATATATATATATATATATATATATATATATATATATATATATATATATATGCTGATTAATATAATATTCACAATATGTTATAAATATATTCACAATGTTGATATATGACAATATTTCAGACAAAAAAACAAGAAAATACACAACATGGATCAAGTGTCTAGGAGGGACAAGCCATGCACGATGAACAAGGCCACATGCACTATCACCACTACC